ACAAAGACATTACAATCAATGGTAAACATAAAACTTATAGACAAAATACGGGGGACACAGACCTGGTGTCTAAAATGCCGACGATTTCAAAGATAATCAATTCAAACATTGAACACGAGAGCGAAAATGTGACACAAAACTGGATTTGCACGAAGAGGTGATGGATCTAATTATAGTGATCGACGATTCACGTCCAGTATTAGGATTATCATTGATTTGTTTGGCGGTAAAGCTATACCTCATAGTCCCTGAAGAGTAGTCTAACGAAGAAATGCCATCCCATGTAGAAGAATAGGATCTGTTGGCGAACATAATGAGAGACAATGAGCACATCTATGGTAATGATGGGGCAGTGGTTGTGATGGCATGTCTTTGGATACCTGAGTGATGAACACAATCAAAGTGTCGACAATTATAAAACCCATTGACTTTTGGATTGATTTGTTTGTTTGGCCGCAAAAGTAGTGATAAAAATAGCAATTATTATAATAAATAACTTAATTATAAGACTAAACACTAAATGATAACAAATAATAGAAAACTATTTTATGTGTAAAATTTGTTTTGATTTAAGTTTGAGTTTAATTACAATTAAAATACAATTAAAACATAAATGTCAACAAAAACTAAAACTGTTTTCAAATGAGTGTATATTTGATATACATTTTGTTCACGTAATCAATGGTTTTGATGGCATTTAATACACGTTTGTATTGCAATCACATCTCAAATGGCGTTAATTGTGTCCAATATATGGCTATAAATGTATTCAATTCACACTTAATTGTGATTTAGTGTTGCATTTCATCCAACATTTGATTCATTTGTTGTTAGTTTGCATCAAAACATGACATCATCTCAACTATTGGTTAGCATTTCATACACTACTGCCTGACATCTGGTGCTACCCATCGGGTGTCCGACACTTGCGATTGCAGTTTGCGGTGATTATCACAACTCATTTCAACATTATTTAAGTTTTTTGTCACACTTTTTATATTATATTCACATTTAAAACATAATTCTTTCATTTAATGAATTAAATTTTAATTAAAGTATAATTTTGTTATAATTAATACATTTGTTTAAACTTTATATTTAGAACTTTTTAAATAACATTTATTTGAAAATAATATTTCGTATTCTTTATCAAATATTAACATTTTATTAATTACTAAACTTTAATTAACAAAATTATTTAAATATATTTCCAAATACAATATTAATGTAAATGTCCTAAAATTTGCTCATTTAATGAAACCCAATGGAAAGAAAGACATTTTCTAGATGTCGATCGAGTGGTGGGTTCATAGAGTCCACGGATTGTCATGGATTGAGAAGTGTATACAATCTGAAGAGTATGTAATGGAGTAAAAGACATAAACATTTGGTCCATAAATTCTTTAGACTAAGAATTGTTTAAATTATAGTTAATTTTATTCAATGAAAAATAATATAATCATAAATTCAATCGCTTTTATGGCCAGAACTGGAAGCCAGTGATGGGTAACGACAGGCGCCGGTCGTATACTTGAGGGAAATAATGGCCACATCTTTGCCCATTTGAAGCCACGACCAAAAGGGCACTACTTTTGAGCCCTCAATCTCTGTCCAATTGACCGCAATTTCGCCGATATTAGTGTCCAATCGTTCGGCAATGAGTAGGAGTTCGACATCAAAGGCCCACTTCTGGCAATGGGTGTGAGAGAAGAGCACTCGAGCCATACGGCGTCCAAACAGTTTGAATCCGCACTGAGTGTCGCGAACGGTGCGGACGGCCAACAGCCACACTCCCACGTGGAAGCCGTACATCAGTATTGTCCTCAACAGCGATCGCGTGGCCACCGCTTCCGACTGCAGGTGCGCTCGCGAGCCAATGGCGATCGGCTCTCGGCCTGAGTTCGCCTTTTCCCACATAAATGCCTCTAATTTGTGGAAATCTGTGAATTTGGTGGCGCCGTCCGCGTCGGCGAACAGCACCAGACGACCCCTCGAAGACATGACACCCAACCGGACGGCACCTCCTTTGCCACGATTGGCCTCCAGTGTCAACACACGGATCTTCTCCGACCCGTATCGGTGACAGTAGTCGAGCGCCACTTCGGAGGTGCGGTCATCGCTGCCGTCGTCGACCACTATTATCTCGTAAGTGAAGACCTGGTGGTCGGGCGCCGGAGTGGAGCCCTCACGGCATCGGCCCTCCAGATAGTGGATCGTCTCGTCTAACATAATCGGCAATCGTTTCTCTTCATTAAAAGCCGGCACAACGACCGACACATACACCGACGACCGGTTCCCGTCTTCGTCGTGGTCTGAGCTGTCCATCAAATCGGGAAATTTGATCCGTTGTTTGGTCTTCGGGTCGTAATAGTAGTGTTCACTGTCTGTCCGATGGATGACCGGAACGGGCGTTGAGATGAGTCTCAAGACGAGGGCCGACACCAACACAACGACCGCCAAACCAGTCAATAGTATTGTCACAAATTGTGTCCAAAATTCACAACAAAAATGCATTTTTTAATTATTATATGAATTAATACTTCATTTCAATATTGAATACAAATCACAGAATCAGTCATTCATTGCATTCACTGTTTATAATGTGATGTAAACATTGGTTTA